GTCCCTTTTTTCCAATACCGTTCTAACAGATAACAGATAATCAGAGTTGGAAGGGACCTTGAAGGCCATCTACTCCAACCCCCCGCCCAAGCAGGAGAACCCTACACCATTTCTAACAAATGGCAGTCCAATCTCTTCTTGAAAGTCTCAAGTGATGGTGCTCCCACAACCTCTGAGGCAGGGGTGGGATTAACTTTTTTTAACAACTGGTTCTGTGGGCATGGCTTAGTTGGTGGGTGTGGCTTGGTGGTCATGTAACTGGGTGGGCATGGCCAACTCGACATCACTCATGTCAAGGGGCGCTTCTCCTCGCCTGGCCTCTCATGACAGTGGGGATGCTGCAACGGTCATAAGTGTGAAAAATGGTCATAAGTCACTTTTTTCAGTGCCATTGTAACTTTGAATGGTCACTAAATGAACTGTTGTAAGTCAAGGATTACCTGTACAAAAATACAAAAAGCTTCTTTGCTTGCAAAAAGCTGCCCTAAATACCAATCATTAGATTAAAAATACCTGCAAGCCAGAGTTACAAATCAGGCAGGGTGCCAGAGCACCTTGAGGAATGAAAATATTTAAAATGCAGTGATAACTGTCAAACAGCCAACTCTTGCTCATTAAGTGAAACCCTTTAGCAGAGAGGTCATTTAAGCTCTCCAGAAAGAGCACACCCAGGAGAAGGAATCCTTAGATCCATTTGCACCACTGAAAGCTGGTCTCACTCACCTCACAAGAAATCCTAAGGAAATCATCCAGATTTAAGGAAAGGTCACATGCCCCCCCAGAAAGACAATAAAAAAAAATCAGTGCCAAGCTTGCATCCTGCCTCTTGGAAGTATACCCCAAAAGGACAATGCCAGATAGTACTAAAGCAGTGAGAAAGACCCCTCCCCAGATAGAAAAAGAAACCACGAGGCAGGAAAAAATTCAAACACAATACAAATAATTAAATCACAACAGTAGCTGTTGCTTGTTGAAGCTGAATAGGGAAAATTATCCCATCAATAAACACAGAATTAAATTTCACCAAACACAGAATTAACCTTCACCAAAAACCAATTTTAGACCAAAACTCAGAAAGAGTATGTAAACTCACGTTTGAATGTCAATTTTTCTAGCAAGCCAAGAAGCCTTGCTGAATGTCACTCACCTTGGTTCCCTGTCACTAAAAGTTTTTCTTCATTATTCAATTATTTCTTCAAAGTGCTGATTGTCCAAGGAAGTATTTCCTCCCAACAGCAGTGTAAAAATCTTAAAACAACCCTTCCCCTTTAAGAAAGCCAAGCCCCAAAGCTCCGGAGACAGTAAGTCTAGGCTGTCTGCCAAGAATGTAATAAGGGTGGAAAAAAACAAACTGAGATTGCTTCTAACTACCGGTTCTCCGAACTGCTTAGAGAGTTAACAAGGGGTTCTATAGAACTGGATACAACCCATAGAATCCCACCCCTGCTCCGAGGGCAAGGTGTTCCATTGGTTGATTGTTCTCACTGTCAGAAAGTTTCTCCTTATTTCCAGGTTAAATCTCTCCTTGTTCAGTTTCCATCCATTATTCCTTGCCTGGCCTACAGGTGCTTTAGAAAATAGCTTGACCCCCACCTCTCTGTGGCAGCCCCTCAAATATTGAAAGACTGCTCTCATGTCTCCCCTGGTCCTTCTCTTCACTAGACTAGCCATGCCCAGTTCCTGTAACCGTTCTTCATATGTTTTAGTCTCTAGTCCCCGAATCATCCTGGTTGCTTTTCTCTGTACTTTTTCTAGAATCTCAACATCTTTTTTATAATGTGGTGACCAAAACTGGATGCAGTACTCTAGGTGTGGTCTTACTAAGGCTTTATAGAGTGGTATTAGTACCTCACTTGATCTTGATTGTATCCCTCTGTTAATACAGTTTAGGATTGCATTAGCTTTTTTGGCTGCTGCTGCACACTGCTGGCTCACTTTGAACAGTCGCTAAACAAACTGTTGTAAGGTGCTAATTCCTCTTGCACACTTTGCTTTTATATCTGGGATCCAAGCACGGGTGGGATTCAGCCGGTACGGACCAGTTCGTGCGAACCAGTTAGTAACCAGTAGCGCATGCTCACCAAACTGGTTGAATACACCTGTTGAATCCCACCACTGGATCCAAGCTGATCCAGGTTTGATCCAATAAACCCCAATAAACCCCATCACACCAGCGTAATGTCCTTCCCAATCGCACCCTGGGTGGAGAAACCATCTCTCCCAATCTTTTCCCCAGACAGGTCACCTTCCAAAATCCCCATTTTTGGGGAATCATTCGAATAAATGAAATCTATTTCCCCATTGGCAATCTCGTACATTCCTTTGTGGTCACCAATGTCGTCTTAAAGCCGCTCATGGTGTTTTGAGACTTGAGTTATTAAGCCGCTTTGAGATGATTACTTCATCTTAGTGTCAAAGGAAGGATAGAACGGTGCCTTCATTTACCCCACCAAAAAAAGAAAAAAATCTCAGCCTTAAATGATTGCCAGGCAGATCCCGCAGCTGTGCTGTTGATCACCTCGAAATTCAGGCGCCGTACGGCAACCTCGACAAGCTTATTGTTAACCCTTCCCATCTCATTGAAAGCAAATTCTGGGAGAATTGCAGAAGCCTGACAGATGCTTATCAGTGCAAAATAAAAAGATAAAATGTTTTCAAGAAATGTGGGGGGGAAATACCTATCCAGATCAACAACAACAACAAAAAACACCCCACATTGCTGGTTTGTCCTCCCGATAAACCATGTTCTGTTCTTCCTTAGCATCTGGCCGCCGTTGAGGAATGGAAGATCAAATCTCTGGTGGCTCTCCTGGTGGAAACACAGATGAAGAAACTGGAGATCAAACTTCGTCATTTTGAAGAGCTGGAAACCATCATGGATCAAGAGAAAAAGGCGGTAAGATTAAAACCTGGTTTCCATTCACTTGTGTCTCAGAACCTGTTTTTCTGCCAGCTCCAAGTTTCTCCAGATTTACTTTCTCTACTGTGGATTTATTTATATCCCGCCTTCTCATTTTTATAACTAACTCTGGGTGGTAAACGTCCCTGATACACAGGTACGCCTCGATTTATGACCACAGTGGAGCTCCAGATTTGGGTTGCTAAGCGAGATAGTGGTCTGGTGAAGTCCAACCCCATTGCAAGACTGTTCTATGCTGCAGTTGTTAGTAACATGGTTGTAAAGTGAAACTTGGCTTCCCTTCAAAAGGTCGCAAAAGGAAATCACTTGAGCCTGGGACACTGCCACTGTCATAAATACGAGCCAATTGCCAATCCTCTGAATTTTAATCATGAGAGCGTGGAGAATTTGCAACAATCATTAAGTGCAAGAAATGAACAGTGCGGTGGCCTAGAGGTGGAGCTCTCGCCTCACCATCAGGAGGCTCTGCACTCGATCCTAGGTAGAGGCAGATATTTCTCTCCATGGGCACAATGAGAATATATCGGCCGAACAAAACTCCTCATTGGCGACAGGAAGGGCATCCAGCCAGTAAACACTCAGCTCCATTCAGTTGCCCATACTCCACCCCACAAGGGATTATGGAGTCGTAAAAAGAAGATGATGATTAAGTGCGAGAAACGGGTCCTAGGTCATTTTTTTTCAGTGCCGTTGTAACTTCAAACAGTTGCTAAATGAATGGTTGTAAGTCAAGGTCTGCCGATCCTTCTCCCTCCTCCTATTCCCCCCCCCCCCCATTTCCAAATTTTCTCGATTTGATTCACTTCAACGCACACCTATGGCTGTCATCTTATTCATTGGTTTGGTTGTCAGTTTATTTTCCCTCACCTTTATGGGTGTGAGTTTCTTCTTGGAAATTCCTTTGATTCCCC